CATAACAACCAGGTAGGTCACCCGTTCGGTCACCACCTACACGTGTAAACCAGCCCTGGCTCTTTGGGAAGCTGGCAGAGCATCAGCGCCTTCCCTTTGTGCACAGCCCAGCTATGCCAGCCACCCCCAGGGCGGCCCAATGTGATGCAATGCTCTGAGGGAAACGCTTCGTCTTCCCATTCTCTTCTCGCCGCCGGTTTGCCCGTCAGAAATGACGATGGAGTGTAAGGTGCCAAAAGCATCAGCAACCATTAAGGCAAGAGAATAACCTTGAACTCGGTCCAAAATATACAGTGACTAATGGGAAGTCCTACAGAAAGCTGCTAAACAGAGCGGATAAAATACACTGTATTTTGCAAACTGCTGGAAATACCATCTACTGCCCTGGCCGAATAGAGTCTATGTGTATAATTCTTCAAATTCTGTGTTAATTTCTCTATCCTTACTGTGTTGACGTGCAATTATGTAGTGCTCTGGTATGCGGGAAGGAAAACAGAAGGTGCAGCTGAAACAAGCAGCAAAATCCCCATCGCTGCTATAATTTCACATGAAATTTGTAAATTTTAACGTTGCAACGACTTGGAATATTTGCGCAGATCAGATTCTTAGTTATCAGTGTTGGTTTCTGTCTTGGCAGGAAATAATCCTGAAGCGAGCAGCTGACATTGCCGAAGCACTATACAGCGTGCCGCGCAACCACAACCAGATCCCCACTCTCGCCAACACCCCCGCTCACACCGGCATGATGGGGGTGAACTCCTTCAGCAGCCAGCTCGCCGTCAACGTCTCCGAAACATCGCAAGCCAACGACCAAGGTAGGGGGCGTTTCGAGAGTGAATCCTTCCCGTTGCCTGCTCCTGGCCAGGGCCTGTCGATAGGAGCTGATGGCACCGCGTCGCTCTCCTTCTTTTTACGTCCTATCGCGTCGTGAAATCCCACCTTTTAACTTTCTCTTAATATTTAATTCTTCCTGTTCTTTCGTTGACTGTTGTCTTAAAGCACCTCCAATGGAGAAAGGAAAAAAAAAAATTGGCCAAGTGTAGGAAACTCTTTATTATTCACAGTAACTATACAACGTGTGTGTTTATTATAAAATCATTATGTCGAGCTATCTCCACCTGGTTTTTGAATATTTACACAGATAAATCTAATTTGGTGTCTGTGATTTGAAAATACTTTGTTTATAGGCATGTGTGACATATATGTTACTAATAAAAGTAATAGTTGATTTAATTTACCTGTTGTAATTGAAAATGCACGCAGCATATTGCATTTAAAATTAATTTTGATTCTAATGAAAGGAGGGAAACAGGATTATTAGATATTTTCAAACCCGTATTTTTTGCTTGCAAAGTAATTATTAAATTGATTGCTCAGATAGGAACAAATTGTTGTTTAAAATCCCGATTCTGCTATGTTTCCTCTTCTAAAAAGATTGTCTTTTAATGCATTTCCAAGCTAATAAGCCTTATAAAATTCTGAACTCGATCTCGAATTAGCGTTCACCGATGGCTACACCTTACGAAAGTACAAGCTTATTGGTAGCATAAAAAATACCAGTCATAAAAATGAAGACCCCAAAACAGCCTTTTAAAGTAAATCACCGCAACGAAAAAAGAAAGTTTATTTTCTTGTCAGCTCTGGCATTTGAAGGTCCGGAGAGGCCGAAAGTTCATTGCATGTGTTGGTCCAAAGCGGGACTCGAGCCTGTTGATAATTGCTCCTAAAGACAAACGTGAAGGCACCTGCCACAGCTGGATCGAAGAGAGCTTTTGTTGGCTGTCTGTGCTGAGAGGAGAGACAACATAGAGTGCTCGCAGATGATTTAAGTAGGGTTGGCGTGATAAGGTTATCTCAACCTGCAAGAGTTGATAGGGCAGTAAGAGACAACTTAGAGCGAAGCTGTGCAATCAATTAAAACTGTGTAATATGTGCTGCATGAGGAAACCCCCCAGCCCTAAGTCTATCTTATAAAATAACATTATTTTTTTGGGGTGGGGGGGTTTCTAACACAGTAGGTTACAGTCGCAACACAAGCAGTGTTTCCCCGCGAGGATATGTTCCCAGCAGTACTCCTCAGCAGTCCAATTACAACACAGTCAGCAATAGCATGAATGGATATGGCAATGCCGGCATGCCCAATCTAGGTGTACCAGGTTCCCCTGGATTTCTTAATGGCTCCTCAGCTAACTCTCCTTATGGCAGTAAGTGTCTATTTTTGGTAACACATCATCATTTAGATTCATATTTACTACAAAGTCAAGTACTTGCATTGTTTTGATTTCCTCTATTGTCAGCTACTGGATAAAAGGAGGGGTGACTCTGGAGGCTGGACGTAAAAATGAATATAACCAATTGATCTGTTTGTGCCATAATACGATCTCAGATAGAAAAAAAAAATAAAATAAAAAAATTGGACTGCGCAATTTGTAACAAAAGTCCAACACAAAAGAGTTTGCCTGTTATCCAGAGAGTGGCCAAGCCAAGGCATTTCATTTTT